ACAACAACAACAAAGCTTCCAGAATCTCTGTGCTTACCCACTCAGACTTTTGTTTTGAAATAGGAAAGGCTCAAATACAATTCCCATTTTCACTGAATTTTCAGTGAATATAATGGAGTGAAATAAGAAAACTGCTCTTTCTTCCTAGTGACTGCTTCCTATCCCAGAAAATAGAGACGCCACAACTAACCCAACATCCCACCCTGCCGGACCTTCAGATTGTTTTCACAACAATGACACAAAATTATCCTTGTATAACTGCATCAAGAGGCAACACACCTTGAATTGGTGTGTGTATATACTCTCAGCATCCCTGCCACGAAAGAAGGCAGACAATGTAGTCTGAAGCCAGGTGTAAGCCTCAGCTGTCTCAGCTGTGAAATGGGGACAACACTGAGAGTCATTTGCCTCCGAGTGCTGCTGTAAGGACTAAATGTGTCAGGGCACGGTCTGGCACCGAGTCAAAGCATTTGAAAATGCCTGCTTTTTGTATCTTTGTGCCGGTACACATATTGTTTTGGAACAGATTCCTAGAGGTGGAAGTGTTCATGTACAATTCTAATTGCAAAGCTGCGCTTCCACTACTGTGTCCCTGCGTCCACAGCCTCGCTGACAGGGGCTTTGTGCAGACCAGTCACTCTTTGGCTCATCTGCTGGGCAACACAATGGCACCAATTTGTAAGTTCTGATGGAGATTGAACATCATAATTACTTGGTCATTTGTGGATTTCTTCTTTTCTTTTGGGAATTTCCTGTTTGTAGTCTCTATTCGTTTTTCTTACTTTTTAATTTTTAACTCATTAAAAAAATGTCCTGGTACTTTTATTATGTGAGGCATGCTCTAGAAAACAGCACGCAGAAAGAATTTAATGAACAAATGTCAGCTTTTGAAAGAATCACAGAGGTTAAAAGTGGGGCAGGAGATGAAGGACAAATTCCTGAGATCCCCGGATATTCGTCTCAGGCGCATCCTAGAAAACAGGGACCATATGACATCTGTGCTGTGTGGCATTCCGATGCCCTTCCCCACTGGCAGGCAGCGTGGGGAGACTCCGCTCCCTTGGCTAGCATCAGCTGCCCTTGGCTAGCATCACATGCAGCGCCTGTTTCCTCTCTTCCTGTCCCTTTCTCCCAACTTCCCACTCTTCTTTTGATCCTTAACCTGCACTTCCCTCTTCCTCTATGTGGCTATCCCCAACAGTGGTACTGAGAGCACATTAGGAAGGCTGCCAATCTAATCTAAGTCTTACTGCTGACAGCTTTCAGACAGCACATGGGTTGAGCCTCACACTGTCCCGATGACTCTTTTCTCCACAGGCAACTCCAGAACAGCTACATCACAGTACTTTTTAAAAACATTTTTCTGCTTAACAAGCTGAAAACTTTTATTGGTCCCTTTTTTTAAGCTTCAAGTGATGGCTGAACAGCCAATCTATTTTTTTGAATTTAATCTCTACCGAACACAGCTTAGTACAGTGTAATCAAACCACCAGTCAATACTACAGCATTTTGTCCGGATTTCCTTTGTCATGCGTAATCAGAATACTACATGAATAGGTCGATAGAAATAAGAAACACGTGACCTATGGGAAATACATCTTACGTTCACCTTTCATTGAGCTTGAAAGAGTGCCAGACCCAAAAATGTTGGACTGGAATTTACATTTTTAAGGAGCTATTTTCTCAATTATCAAATGAATATACACGTATTAAATAGCTGCAAAGTGATTTTTTTTTTAATTACAAAGCAGAGAAATAGACCTATCCAGAACCAGTTCTTGTTAACTTTCTGGGTTATAGTTCATGTGTCTCCTATAATTTTTACATAAATGGAATCCTACCACAAATCTCTAAATTCTGTCCATTGACAGACTGTAAACATTACCTTGGAAATTTGTTTCAGTTAACAGAATTCTCACACATTTACATCAGATCTCGTGGTTCCATTTCCTTTCCTTTCTGGTCTTTCTTGGAGAAATAAGGCAGAGGTTTTCTGACCCAACAGGACACCAGTGAGCACTTACCTTTCTCCGGTCTTTCAGAATTCGGTCCAAACTTTCTTCACTAACTTTGCTTGCGTAGTCATAAAAACTGTTTTGTTGTTGTTGTTGTTGTTAAAGAGAGAAATATTTTAGATGAATTAAAATCATGCAGTATTGAGACATAATATGTGACACTGACATGCTTAGTGATGCCTACCGATGAGCATCTGACCTGAAAAGTTGGCAAGGATACAACTGCCTATTTTCAACAGGTGCATCAAGAGACATCAATCTACATGTTGTTGTTGTTAGGTGCCATCAAGTTGGCATCGACTCATAGTGACCTTATGCACAGCAGAACGAAACAATGTCCGGTCCTGGGCCAACTACATATGCATTAGTAAAATGAGGTCTCTCTTGCATCAAAGCAAACTCGAGACATTCTGCATTCAGAGGCTATTACTCCCACGTGTGGAAGGTACCGATGCCAGATTGTTGGTTGGTTTCTAACGACTGCGGCATCTTATTTCTAAGGACCCATTACTTAGGAAACAAATAGTGCAAGCAGCTCATTTTCTGAGGAAAGAAAAAGGAAAAGGAACATTTATGAGCTATTTAACATATAGAACACTCGGCTGCTTGCTTTTTCATGTTACTTCAGTCTAGCCTCAATGCTGGGTGGGAAGTGTTAGCTAAGCCCAACAATTCAACAGAGTTTAGTCCCATTCTGGAGACCATGATAGTGAGAGTGAGTGTTACTGTTGTTAAGTGCCATGGAGTCGGTTCTGACCCATACCCACTCTTTTTAGGGTTTCTGAGAAGTAGCTGGTGAATTTGAACCACCGACCTTGTGGTCCAAACTGACCCTGTAGTCCAGTGCTTTATCCTGCAGCGCCACACCAGGACTCCAAGGTTAAATGACTTCCCCAAATCACAGAGCTGGTAGGCAAAGAGCCGAGATTGGAATCCAGGTCTGGCTAGCTTCAGGTCTAATCTCTTCGTCTCTAAAACAGACCAAACTGGCCAGGGTGAGCAAGCCAGGTGTAAAGATATGGGGCCCTCCTTTGTCATGGGTCCCACAAAGGCAGGCCTGAGTTTCCAGGACAACAGGCAGCGAGCGCAGACTGGAGTTAGGAAACAGCAGCTCCAGCCCCACCTCAGCCTCTCACTCTGAGATCTTGGGTAAGTAAGTCATAGAACGTAGCTGGACTCCATTTCCATTTCTGCACAAGAAGGACTTCGGAGTGAAAAGGTGGTCCTTCAGGTTTCTCTCTAAAATGTAAGGATCATGACTTCATGATTTGTATTTAGGGAAACCCTTGCTCTGTATGACTTTGCTGCCAAGGTTTTAAGGCAGGGCATGTGCAGGGAACCTTCTGCAGAGCAGGCAGGCAGGGGCTTGTTTCATTTGCTCTGGGACTCTCTTGGTTCTCTGTACCGCCTTTGGTGACGCACACATCTAAAGGAGACAGGCTCTCAGCTCCCTTAAGGCTTCCTTCACAGGAAGTCAGCTTGAGTGATGACACACCTTTGAACCCAACAATGGGCATGCTGTGTGTCAGGGGCTAAGGTTCACAGCCGACAACCCACTGAAATAACAATGAGTAGGTATATGTGCATACTGAGACGTCTGGGGGAAGAGCTGAGGTTCACAGTCAGCCACCTGAGCAAGGACAACCCTGAGGACCCATTCATGAGTGGGTGTGTGGTGGTGGTGGTGATAAGGAATGAGGTACAAGTCACCAGGGGCTCTGGGCTGCTTGGTGGCGAGGGATTTGGGCCAGCTGTGACAGGTATCGCAAGTGCTAAGGAAGAAGGTGCAAATCACTAGGCTTAATTGTATCTGTGTGGGGAGTCCTGGCAGGAAAGAAGGGGCCTCGGTCCTGGAAGGTAGTGAACCAGGGCCTCAGGGAGTGATGGGTTTGACTGAGACCAGAGGCAAAGGCCTGAGTGGTGGCCTGGGAAGCTCAAGTCTGGGGATTAGAGATCCTGGCCTTTTCTACCCTGACCATTCCCTTCCAGATGCTTCTCTGTCACTCCTTTCTCCATTCTGAATTGTTCTCTCATTTGTGTCTCTTTCTATCCTTCAGTTGGTAATAATATGGACCTGGTACCTTAACTTACACATGAAACTGAAGATGGCTGTCATCTTTCATTAAAGGTTTAAGCCAGGTGTAAAGAAATCTGCATATATTTAAGTTGTCTTAAAACACCCAGTAAATTAATTTCTCAAGAGGCAATAGTTCTGTATGGTTGAAGAGTCCATGACAGGGTACAAGATTAAATTATGTTAACATAATGAACTCATAATCCTTGGAGTTTAGAAATTCCCATTCAGCTACATGGAATACTACCATCCTAAATACTGAGGTCAAGACTTATACTGCCCTCCTCCCCCATCTCCTAACCTAACATAGTGTTAAGTGCACACTGACCCTCACTCTAGAAGTAGGAGTCCTGGTGTGGCGCTGTGGGTTAACGCGCTGGGCCGGAAAGTTGGTTTAAACTGCAAGGTCGGTAGTTCAGGTTCACTCCACTTCCTTATGTTGTGAGGGCCACAAGTTTAACTGAAAACATCCATACTTACTTATGTGGTAAGGAACATGTGTGGTAAGTATGTATGTCCATAGTTACATGTGTGGTCCTCACTATGTATGTGACGGTCCTCAGTTACATGCATGGTCCTCACTATGTCAGGACATGTGGATGTCGTCAAGTACACACATGCTCCTTACTATATATGTGTGTGTGTTTAAAGTTACACACATGGCCCTCACTACATATGTAAGTGTGCATGTCTACAGTTATATGCGTGGGAAGTGTAAGGAAGTGTGCCTGTCCTCAGGTACACATGTGACCCTCACTATGTAAGGAAGTGTGACTATGTAAGGAAGTGTGACTGTCCTCAGTTACACACATGGTCCTCACCACATAGATAAGTGTGCATGTCCACAGTTACACACGTGGCCCTCACTATGTAAGGAGTGTGACTGTCCTCGGTTACATGTGTGGCCCTCACTATGTAA